CAACCCACTCTCAACATACGACACGTTAATCCCGGCAATACAATACATTTCGCTCCTGGAAGCTCAGAGCGCGAATTTCCATCGCCCGACTGGAGTTTTTATTTCCCCAGATGATGAGTCAACTACAGCCGGCACCAAACAGGTCAACAACATGGACGCAATAGGGACAAGGAAGAGCTGCGGTAAAACTAGATGGAGCCGCATGACGCTGTTTCCGCACCCTCATAAATGAAAAGAGAAAGTTGCAGAAAAGAGTCATTGGTTCAACAGACGAAGTGAAGGAAGCATATTTCGTCACACACAGAGGGTGCAACAGTCCAACGCTAATGCTCTCCATGCCCGTTCCTGACGCCTGCGTACAGGTCAACATCGTATATGAAGTAGCCGTACGGAACCAGGCCAGTCTCCAAACACCATCTATCCGTGTAAATACAACTAATAATGAGTCGTGAGACATAACAAGTCCGCACCTTAGGGCTCAAGCAACAGTTGCTAGGAGCATCAAACACAAAGCAAATACTCCCCGGAATTATGAAACCGCTACAGGACGAGTTCATCCCACCGCATAAGGCGCGCGGGCAGGTGTCAGAATATATCCGTTAAATGTCCCGTGCTCAGCCGCTCCTTCTGCTGGCGATTTGCCTCGTCCTCATCTACCTCTTCCTCCTCTAGCTGTCTACTGAGCCTATTTCCGACATTAGCTACCGGCATGGCGTTATCATGATACAGCCCAGTCCCTCGGTTGAAATTATGTTGCGATGCATGGGCTGCGCTGGTTCGGTGGATGAGGATACGAGAATTGCCGGCATGGTTCGCGTTCGTCAAACGAGGGCTGCTACTGCGGGCTGTGCGGCAAGGGTGTGGGTTATGTACACAAGAGCCGCATATACCGGCGCGCGTATGAGCAGTTGAATAGCGTACCGGACTCCTGCCATCGCATGCTGCGTGCAGTAGCCATATCAAGACAGAGTTGTCTAAATATACCTACACAAACCAGTTACCATTTTCTCCTCATTCTCGAGTCGAGGCTAGGCTTGGCTACAATTAAACTGTCCATCAAGGCCTTCGTTCGTGGTGATTCGCAACTCTCCACTGTAAAGATTATGCAACCTTAACAACCTCATTTGATCAGATAACTGCACTCATCTGCATTATGGCCCAATGTTAACGATAGTTAGGTGTTGGTCACTCAGTAGAAAATAGCAAATACCACGTGTTGCAAGCATTTCAATCACTGAAAACTAGACCGACTGAACACGTCTGACGACCATATACTTCCCACCATGGCTCGAGCCCTCAATTCTGCTGCGCAACAACTGCAGAACTGGAGCGGCACCCACATCCTCACGCCTTCACAACCAAGCCATGCTGCGACTAGTGATTGACGCCTACTTTCAAAACTCCCATTCAGACCATTCGGAAACAAGCTTAATCCGCCGCCACATGTACCTTTCGAGGCTGTTAGCCAACTTCGCATACGGCGTATTTTCGTCGTTGTACTTGCGACAGTTGTCGAATATGAGCTTTGCGTCCCTGATGAAGTCGTCAAGCGTGACGTACTGGTCCGCCTCGAGCTTG